TCTGAAATGGATGAAAAAAAAGGCATCATTATTTTTAAATTAAACAAAAAAATGCCAACTGATCAAAAGGATAAACAAAAAAATGCCAACTGATCAAAAGGATAGCCATGTCAATAGTTAAGCAAAAAAGGAATTGATTTACTGGCAAGTTAACGTGCCACCTGCGCATTTAATTGACGGAAGGACAGTTTTGGTGCATTTAATTGACGGGAGGACAGTTTTGGTACTGAAAATGAAAATTTAAAGATAATTTTAGTATTTTTTAAAGTTGTAGGACAATTTTGGGCCAAAGTCATAAGTTGAGGGACCAGAATGGTATTTAAACCATTGAAAAAGTGAGAAACCGAGCTCTAAACTACCCTAGGTAGCAACAGAAAAAGTTGGGCAGTAAGTGGGGGTTTTACCATTTAAACACTCCCAAATTGTTTAGAAAACACTCTGAAGAGCAAAAAGTTTATGCGTAAAGATTGCAATAAAAAAAGTGCAAAAACTAGGTAGGAAAGTGAAGAAAATAGCAGTTGAATGTAACTAAAAACCTGGACTATTTTGTGCAAAATTTTCAAGCGATATAACATTAAAACATGACAAATTTCAGTGATTTAACTAAGCATAACAGAGTAGATTTGTAGCCACAAAATAGAACAAAACAACAGGTTTTAAAGTGGAAAAATAGCAGCTACTTACAAGTGAAATTCTGGGTTATTAACGTTGTGTTGAGCATGATTTTAAGTGTGAAAATGGCATGAGAAATGTAGATTTAAATTACAAAAACACATCTGATATGGAAACAGTTAGAAAAATCAAGGCTCAACAAAGTATGAATTGAGCAATGGTACAGACAACTTGTAACCAAATTTTCGTAACAAAATTAACATAACAACATCTTAAATAACATGCATATAACAGCAGGGTTTAGAAGTTCAAACCCATGACTCTAGCCTGAATGTTTTATTAGTCCAAAATTGCCACTTCAAAGACAAGATCAAGGCTAAGAATTTGCGTGACAAATCCAAAATTTTTAGCACAAATTTGGACAGAATTAGTGCTGGAAATTTGATAAAGATTGCTACCTATTCACAGGTTCAATGGAAAAATGAAGATACAAAAGAAATCTTAAGAAAACATATTAGCAACATGAAAGAACATTATCGATTTATATAAAATTGGAGTTGGGAAAAGATGGAATCTGAGAACTTTAGAAGAGAGAGGTGCAATCGTCGTTGATTAGGGAAAGCTTGAGTTTTAAGTTAGGTTTTGGTAATTTTCAGATAATTCAATAATCAACTAATTTACAATTAAATCCACAAGTTTCAAAACACTATCAATTAAATCCTCTAGGTCTTAATTGAACCAATTAGGTATAACCCTTACGTATAACACTTCGCCCCCTTAGTTCATGATTATTTATGTCAAGTCCCTTGACAATAAAATTAAGATTTGGAAAATTTTTGGGGTATTACATTTGGGAAACAAGTTAGACAACCAATATTTTACTTATATGATCGAGCCAACTAGTCAATTCCCAAATATGCTTAAAACATTGATTTGATAATTAATTCTAAGAATAAAACTATCTCATTTAAAAAAGATTACAATACAAATTTATTTTATTATTATAAGCAAGAACACATAAATTAAAAATTACACAAACTTGACTTTGATGAACGTTTGAGGTCTATACTTAATCAAATTGATTTAGACCTATGAGAGCAAATCTCTCATGGTTAACTAAGAAGAGTGTTGATGACCACTTAAAAATTTTTCAAAAATAAGATTGAAAACAATTAAATTAAGTATGAAAGATTAAGAAAATTGGAGTCCATGAGAGATTAAAATGGTCTGCATAGATATCAAGGTTTAAGGGTTCAGGTAAAAGTGAGAAAAGATATACGCACAACTTACAATCTTTCATGTAAAACATGTAAAACACGATTGTGTAACTTTTAAAAATGGTTAAATCCCCAATTTGGTCCCATTACTTTGACAAAAAGCCCTTTTTTGGCCGCTTTACTTAGAAAAGCCCCTTTTTGGTTTCTAAAATTTGAAATCCGGCCCCTTTTTTAGTCCCTCCATTAAGTTTTGCACACATGGCATATTAAATGATAGAAATTTCAAAGTAAATGAACCAAAAATGGGCTCTTAGGGGCTAAAAATGGCCCTAATTTAGTCCCTCTTCTTTGAAAAAAGTCCCCTTTTAGTCATTCTATTTTGAAATTTCTATTATTTAACGTCAAAATTTAACGGAGGGATTAAAAATGGGTTAGATTTCAAACTTTAAGGACCAAAAAGGGGTTTTATTAAGTAGATGGACTAAAAAGGAGTTTTTTTTTATCAAAGTAGAGGGACTAAATTAGGGTTTTAACCTTTAAAAATTGGGTTTAGTTCAATTTATTTATTCTTTAGGTCTTAATTGAGTAGGCTTGAAAAGCAAATGGACAAAATTGTAACATTTGAAAAAATGTTAGGACTGAACTGGACAAAATCACGAACATGCATGTACAATTGCAACAAATTAAAAGTTGAGGGACTGATTTGGCTAAATTTGGAATTTAAAGGATTAATTCAAAATTATTTAAAACTTGTGAGCCAAATTGCTTGATCACAAAAAGTTGGGTGACATTAAAATTCAATAAAAGATAATTTTGACTTTTTGATTTTTGAACTAATTAAAGAAAAGTAGAAAATTTAAATTAATTAATCATAATAATTAGTTCAATTGAAATGTTAATTTAACATTAATTAAAATTAATTAATTGCATTCATTAGTCTATAATTAAAATAACTAAAGGAATCTAATTACATTAATTAAGACAAATAATTATAATAAGTTTACTCTAATTAAAATCAATTAATTTCATTAACCATTTATTAAACAAATCATCAAGGTTAATTTATATATTTTTGTTGACTTTTTAGTCCTTAAACCTACTGACTTAACCAAAAACACAACCCATCTATCACAATGGGTGACAATAAATCAAAACCTTAGCTGAAAATGAAGAAAACCTAAGTAGAGAATGAAGAAAAACTAAGGTTTATATAGCAAAGAAAAAGTGCAATTTCATCAAACAATGACCAAATCAATAACCTTAGCAAACATATCAGAAACAAAGGAATGCTTGATTTTCATTCAATATATCAATAGTTCATGCAATTCATAACAACACCAAAAACTCAAAAAGAAAATCAAACAAACAATGGTGGAATTTTTATAGGGGTAGGTCGGAGGCCAATCTTGGGTACCCCAACCATAGGATAGTCCCCTAATCTTTCCCTTTCACTACTGCTCTAAAATCCCTCTATTTAGGGGGTTAAGTAAAGTAAGCAAACTAAGAAATGGAGCCTTTTTTTTCTCAAACAAATCCTCTTCCAAAAATTTCCTGAAAATCCTTCTCCGAAGGGCAACTAAAAAATGCTATTTCTAAATAACTTTTTCAAAATCAAATTGGTAGCACTCATGTGTTTAATTTATTATTTTGGGTGTGGGTCTCACTTCTATTTCAATTTGGGTTTCTAAAATCCTATAAATACTTGTCCAAATTTAGAATTGGAAACCTTTGGAGGCTAATGGCAGCTCTCTTTTGGGCAACCTTTGAGATCAAGATGGAAGATCCATCAAAAATAGAGGATCACGGATTTCAACTTCCTCAAATTAAGTTTTGCTTTTCCTTAAATTCTTTTTATCTATTGTTTAATATTCAAATGTTCATAACTATAATTTCAGATTTTGTTAATTTTATTATGAATTAATTTATTCTACTAGGGTTACGATGTAACTTAATTAATTTAGTATAGATTTTGAGATTTTTATACTTTCAATTCAAGTTATTCACATGGTGAGTTTTTTTTATTAAACTTAAAGTCTAATCACTTTTCAATTAATTTAGTGATTTATACATGAACTTAAGAAAGAATTACGTAAATTAAACTAATAATAATATAAACTATGTGTTAAACTATGTGTTAAACTATGAGACTGAGAGGTAATTAGCTATATGTGGTAGTGGAGGAAGAAAAGAGAGTTAAGAGCTCCCCATTCCTAAGTTAAAGCTTTTCATGAAATTTAGTATTCATTAATTTGTTTTAAATTATATAATAATATGACTAATTTAACAAATAAGTGAATGATTAACTTAGCTGAAGAAAACTAGTTAATTAATTTAGGGGAATTTGTAATCATATGCAATAACACTTACTAAATTAGTTTCGAAAGCATGTTAATCCAAAATTTATATTGATTGATTAATTATGATGAAGTCAATACCTTAGTACCTTATATCTTTATTAGTTTTATTTTAATTATTATTTTTATTTTATTATTTTTTATTAAAATTTCTTCATTTTTTATTGTTCAAATAAATTTAGATTAATTATTTTAGTTTTAGTTAATCACAACCCTTGTAGATTCAACACTTTTCTCATCATTATATTATTGGTTTAATACCATTTTAGTCCCTCAACTTATCACTTTGGCTCCAAAATTATCCTTCAACTTTAAAAAGTACTAAAATTATCCTCAAACTTTTATTTTCAATACCAAAACTATCCTTCGTCAATTAAATGCGCAGGTGGCATGTTAACTTGCCAGCAAATCAATTCCTTTTTTTCTTAACTAATGACATGGCTATCCTTTTGATGAGTTGGCATTTTTTTGTTTAATTTAAAAATAATGATGCTTCTTTTTCATCCACGTCAGAAAAAAAATGATCTCTTCTTCCTCTTTCACTTTCTCTCTCCTTTACCTTTTCTTTTCCCTTGCCTCTGCCAACCCAGAGCTGGGTTTTCTCTCTGAAACTTCATCTTCTTCCTTCTTTCTTCCTTCACAGTTTTGCCTCCTCATTCTCTATCAACCTTCCTCCTTCCTTTCCCTGCTCATCCTTCTTCTTTTTTCTTCTTATTCTTTCTCTCTATCTCTTCTTCCTTCTTCCTCTTTCAAACCCAGATCAATCTAGTGAAAATTCATACATTAAAATAGAAAATACAAGTAATAAACACCATACAACTAACAAATTTATTCATTAACATACCGCTCCTACATTTTTTTCACAAACACCACACACAAATACACTGGAGCCTCTAAAGACCCATCGGCAATCATCACCAACAAACTAAAATAATAAGGATAATGAAAGCCCAAAAACCCATCAATTTCCTTATGTAAATGACAATTTCAATTTGAAAAGGAGCGAGTTGCGACCGCTTTCTCAATCTTCATTCTCCAGCTTTTCAGCTCCCAGCACCTTCAAACTTTCTTCATAACCTTTTTGAATCTGAGCTATGAAAGCAAGAAAATGTGCAGCAAAATTTTCTCACCTTTTTCTCAGCAACCAAACAAGACCTTAAAAGAAAACAGAAAATAGCCAGAAAAAAATGAAATAACATGGAGGATGGACCACTTGATAGTTCAAATAAACTCGAGATTCAAAAATCGATTAAGTTAACTAACAAATACCAAATCTACAACTCAAAAGATCCAACTCAACAAAGCAAATTTTCTCACTCTTTTTTGTCTCAGCAACCAAACGTACAAAAATTTCAAACAAAAAACAAAAGAGGAAGTGCAGATCTGGATTGAAGCTCACTCTTGCCAACCAGAAAAGATGAAGACCAAAGTGAAAAGAACTCTCCTGACGAACGAGACGAACGCCATTCCTAACGGAACAAAGCCGAAAATTACGGGAAATCTTTACGAAGTGTGGTGCAACGGGGACAAGGGAGAGAGACAAACGGAGACTAAAACCCAACCGACAATTCATATAGGGGAGGAAAAATACAACGGACGACAGATTGTTCTAAATCTTCCAAAAAATGGGTGTTCGTGGGTGTCGTTGTGGCAGCCAGCTTGCTCCTCCTTCTCAATCTCTTTAGGTTTCTATTTTACTTCCAACAAACGTCGTTCTCAGAAATCGAAGCCACCGCTTGAACCCAGGCCACCACTGCCACCGCTTGAACCTGGGCCACCACTGCCACCGCCTCAACTCCAAAAATTCTCAGATTCATCAGATTACCCTCCTTTTATATCTTCCAAAGGGATTCAACATGAAATTGAATCCTTGACCCTGTACAAATTGGGGGACATCCAAGCTGCTACCGAAAATCCTCGATCTGTACAAATTCTTTGAGAAAAACCCATATTTGGGTTTGAGAGAGAAAGAAGAAGGTAGAAGAGAGAGAGAAAGAAAGAAAAAGAAGAAGAAAGAAGAAGGATGAGCAGGGAAAGGAAGAAGGAAAAGAGGAAGAAGATGAAGTTTGAGAGAGACCCAGATCTGGGTATGCAGAGGTAAGGGAAAAGGAAAGGTAAAGGAGAGAGAAAGTGAAAGGGAGGAAGAAGAGATGACGTGGATGGAGAAAATAAAGATATTATTATTTTTAAATTAAATAAAAATATCAACTTATAAAAAAAAAAGTGACCAAAGTGTTTTTTTTTTTTTTTTCCATGTTATTAGTTAAGAAAAAGGAATTGATTTGTTGGTAAGTTAAGTGTCACCTGTTTAACTGATGAAAGGATTGTTTTGATACTGAAAATGAAAGTTTAAAGATAAATTTAGTACTTTTAAAAGTTAAAAAATATTTTTGGTACCAAAGTGATAAATTGAAGGACCAAAATGATATTTAAACCCTTTTTCAATACTTTGTTGCCCAGAAAATCTGCTAGGTTTACCTATTGTTTGAAGTGAGATTTGGAGCCATTTTAGGCATGTTTCTGCCCTCTTTAGCTGCTGCCAAAATTCTTGTTACATGCCTCTATTTTCCCTCACAATTCGGTTCTTGGGCTTTGACGTCCTTAACTAATACACTTGCTTGCCTAGACCTAAGGTAAGGAAATAAGATATATGGCTGCCCATTTTGACAAGAAAATATATTTTTATGCAAAATTACCTTTTTAGCCTTTTTAAAGCTCTTTTAAATGTTTTGCCATTAAATCCCCATTTATATTTTATTGGCAAAGGAAATAATTGGAGGAAGCTCCACCATCATCACAAGATCGCCTATAATCATGCTAAGCCTCCTATAAACCACACACACCCAAAATACTAAGAAAGACTATAACCTTTCACAAACTCTAATTGAAATTGAAACAGTGAAAGAGATAGAAACTCTCATGGTGACCACCATAGAAGTAGCTATTTAGAGAAAGAACTGCCTAACATATACAAAAATTGATTCGAAAAGAAAAGTAAATAAAGAGAAAGAGGAATAAAAGGAATAAATAAAGAATAGAAAGAAAAGGCTAAGGAAAGCCATAGCCATGGCTGAAGGAGAGGCTACATCTTTATACAATTTCTATTTTGCCAAGAACTTGTTCTGTTGAGTGTTGATTGTAGATAGATTAGTCTTTTCTTTTCTTTTTTTCAGTAATCTGCAAATCGAAGAAAATTATTATAATCAACTAAATTATTTTATTAATTAAAAAATTTAATTTAATTAATTGAAATAACGTTAGATTCCCTCTCTTCATATTCACTATCTATAAAATTGTAATTTTTTTTTGGTTTAGAAAAAAAAAATGCAATTTGCAATCACCGCTCTATGCATTTTGGGCATATTTGCTACAAATAATAAATTTACCCCTCCCTTTTTTCCCTTTTCTTTCCCTCATTTGGTAACAGTAGGAGGGTTTATTTAACCTTGGTGCATAAATTGCAATTTTTTTTAATTAATTTGTATAGAAAAACAAAAATGATAACTTTATTTTTAATGTCAATAACATATGCATGATTTTATTTATATAGTTGATAAAACTAAAATCAATTTTTGTTTTTTTATACCAATTAATGAGAAAAAAAATACAATTAATATAATCTTAATTTGCGTTTTAAAGACAGAAGTTTGAAAATTTCATCCTAAAATTATAAAGGAATTTAAAAGAAAACTCTTCACCTCCCCTCCAATTTTTATTGTTGAAATAGGAAAATTAATCCCCCTTCCCTCAAACCAAACATGCTAATACTTTAAAGACTTATTTGGCATCAAAGTTTCATAAAGAGCTTATCTTATTTGACATCTTACATGTATATCTTATATCTTACATATAATGGCATTGTAAAACATGTCGTCTTCCTAAATTCTTTTTGGAGGATTGCCTAAAAATTCACATTTTAATTAATATTTTCAAAAATTAACAATTAGATTAAGTATTATATTCATATAGGCCATATGTGCAAATTGCCATCCAAAATTATTATGTTAAAGTAAATCACCACAAAAAAAAAAAAAAAAAAAGAATGTTGATGCAATTTGCCCCTTGAATTTCCATTTTTAAGAAATTGGTCTAACTTTAACAATTGTTGTTACATTTCATTAAACTATTGCTCTTTAAGATTAACAAAAAGTTAATGGCAAGTGTTAAATTTGAGCCGATTTATTGAAAATGGAAATTCGGGGTGGCAAATTGTATCAACACTTTTTTTGTGGTGATTTGCTTCTATATACTAATTTTGGGGCAAATTTGCACCTTTTACCTATTCATATAAATCATACATGTTAATTTTTAAATTGATCTAATATTTATAATTTTTTTATCAAAAAAAAAAAAAAAACCTCTATTTACTAATATATACTTAATGGTATCAAATTTTCTATAATTAATAAACTAATTAAGTTCATATAAATGATACATGTTAATTTTTAAATTGATCTAATATTTATAATTTTTTTATCAAAAAAAAAAAAAAACCTCTATTTACTAATATATACTTAATGGTATCAAATTTTCTATAATTAATAAACTAATTAAGTATATATATTTGATTAATCTATTTTGAGGAATGAATTTGTATTGTTTTGAGATTTACAACATGTCCACTGCCACATTAGCAAGACCAATTTTGGACTTGTGACTAGGAAGGGTTCACATGGTTTATTTCCACATCAGATCTATTATATTTTATATTCTGTTGATTATTACAACAGAGTCGGTATTACCAAAAGTGGCATTCATCCACCCGTTGGAAATATTACAAACATAGTCTACTTAAATATCATTCTCATATACATGGCCAAACATAGCTATACCTATCTTCACAACATGGCAAGGCATTTTTTACAGTCATGATCTCTACTACAACATAATTTGGGCTCCCAACAACAAACAAAAAGCCTACTTTGCTATACATGCATGGCTTCCATCAATGGTCAATGGGTTGATCCTATTACATCTACACAATTCCTCGCGATGGACAAAGGGCTAGATTTGTTATCTTATTTAGTCTCCAACAGTGGACAAAAGGCTACACATCTCTACACATTTTCATTACACCGGCTCCCAAAAAATGGACAAAGGGTCGGATCTCTACATATTTTATCTCACTAGCTTCTGGAAACGGATAAAGAGTTAGTGCAACTTGATACAATTAGCGTGAAACCGGTAATAGTTGCAACCCTGCGATTGGTTAGGATGGTTACTCTCCAGCAATAAAAATCCATCAAGTTGCGGCTAATGGTCCCTTGCTAGTCGCCCGTGCATGGTAATATGGTGCTTGGTGAGCAACAACAACTAAGATCACCCTTTAATGGTGCGGGTACAATAAGAAGGGCCAATGTTTGTCTGTGGTAGTACATTTTGTCATATCAAAAGCTATGGATGCAGCTAGCGTCCCCTTTTTATGGAAACAACTCCACTCATCTTTATCACATATTAATTACTATGGTGGAGTCTAGATTAATGAGATTTATTTCTTTCGTGACTTAGTACATAGTGGGAATGCTCTTCCGGTTCAAGTTCACGCTCCAACCAAGGGCAAAGCCCGCCATTGTTGCCCCTTTAGCTATGGGGAAGCTATTCATGGTTGACCTTGTGATATTCATACAATATAGTCGGCAGTCATGCATATCATTATTCTTCTATACAAAAGGACAAAATTATCAGTTGTTGATAATCTCGATCTACAACATATTTTTTCTATAATTCCATGTGTTGGCAAGTATCGTCGACCAGTGACCCTTGGCTCGACAAAGCGATACTACAACACACATTCATATTACTCATTCTTTATTTTGGCACAATGCTAGATATACATAGTAGGATTATGCAAGTGGTTGCCATGGCCAGTGGATAAAATGGCATAATAGTATTCATTCTCACTATCCCCTTCGATATACAAGGGAGTGTTCTACTTTGCTAAACATACTTATACATTTTACACTTATATATTTGAACAAACACTCATTCATATTTTGCTCTTTGCTACAGATGAACACAAACTCATGAATCTAAGCTCATGAGGATTACATGGGATAAACTATGGAAGTAGTGGCTTGGTAAGCATGGATGGATGAGTGTTGCTTATTCGGCGAAGCGAGGTATTTGTGCCAACCAAGCTTGGAGGTGGTGATGTTACTTGACTTCACCAAGAAGAGCTCAATGGCGAAGAAATGGAGGCAAAGCTTGATCCCAAAATTGTACTATTTGATGCTAACTAGAAGGCCTAGAATATTGTTAAATATCAACCAGAGATGTTATTTGAGTCTTCATCAGCAAGTTGCAGTTATATTTAATGCAAAGGTGGCTGCACAAGTTCCATTGCATTGGAAATTATTGAAAAAGATTATATTTTGCTTGGGAAAATCACCAAAATCTTGGGCAAAATTGATTTTTCTAGCTGTGCTTAAGTACCCCTCCAAAAATGGTATTTAGTATAGATAGTTAATTACCAAAAATGGATAGTTTCCAATGAACCAGCAGTCCTTCATTAGAACCACTGAACAATTCATGATATCACTTTAAAAAGCTATTAGCAGTACTTAGAACCACTCAAAACTCGATAGTTGTCCTCACCTAACCCAAATCTACTCGTTGGTTCATTGGGTAACTCTGACTCCACCAACCCAAAATTACCAAAATGCCACTGCATATATAAATATGGTTAAACCCCTATTTTGGTCTCTAAACTATTGTACGGACCCTCGATTTGGTCCCTAAACTAAAGAAATCCCTAATTTGGTCCTTGAACTATTATACAGACCTCTGAGTTAGTCCCTAAACTATTGTACGGACCCCTGAGTTAGTTCCTAAACTATTATACGGATCCCCAATTTGGTCCCTACTATTTACCAATTTAGCCCCAACTTGGTCCTTCTATTAAATAATAGCTTAGGGACTAAATTGGGGCGAAATTATAAACAGTAAGGACCAAATTAGGGGTTCGTACAATAGTTCAAGGACCAACTTAGGCCAAATTATAAACAATGGGGACCAAGTCGGGGGTTCGTACAATAGTTTAGGGACCAAATCAGGGATTTCTTTAGTTCAAGGACCAAATTGAGGGTCCGTACAATAGTTTAGGGACCAAAATAGAGATGTAACCTATAAATATTGA